TCTTTAAAACTCTTCTTCTCAAGAACCACTGGGCCAGAAAAGCTGAAACTTATGTGGAAGCATCCTCAAGTAGTGTACACTCTAAATTGTTCAAATCATGACCCAGGGGATAGGGCGGGGCCACAATAGGGGGAATCCCAAGTTTTACATTGAAATATATAGGAAAAATCTTCTCAAGAACCACTGGACCAGAAAAACTGAAACTTATGTGGAAGCATCCTGGGGTAGTGTAGATTCTAAATTGTTCAAATCATGGCCCCTGGGGGGAGGGTGGGGCCACAATAGGTATTTCAAGGGGGGAGTCTGGTAATGAACAGCATGGCCAAAGTTACTCAGGTGAGCGATGTGGCCCATGGGCCTCTTGTTCCTCCTAGTTTACCAACTTAATGAACCAGTCACTGATATTTATTTTGGAATGAAATACTTGTTTCATACTGATTTTTAGGGCTGGGACGATATATCGAGATATCGATAATATCGATTCAATGTGAGGATGATACGCATATCGATACGTATAAAGAAATATCGAAATATCGCCTAAAAAATTCTGACATATGTTTTTCTTTGTTTACTTAAGATTTTGGGTTTAATATATAAAATAAATATGCTTAATATAAATATAAATATGAAATACATAATAATTAACACCACTTGTGTAAAATAATTAAGTTTTACAAAAGATATACAACTTCTTTGCATAAATTATTCTTATTTGTGAAGAAATGTTTTGTTCATTTCAATATAAAAAAAGAATTTATAACCAATTAAACATATCGTGATACATATCGTATCGTGGCTCAAATATCGGGATACGTATCGATATAGAAAAAGTTGTATCGTCCCAGCCCTACTGATTTTTAGCTCTACTGGTCAGAGACCAGAAGAGCTTATGCGATAGTAAGGTGTCCGTCGTCCGTCTGTCTGTCTGTCTGTCTGTCTGTCTGTCTGTCTGTCCGTCTGTCTGTAAACAATTTTTCAAAACGCTACTCCTCCTACAGTTTTGGTCCGATTTCAATATAACTTGGCACACAAGTAGACTACACTAAGATACATAATTTAGTGCATCAGTTTTTGATTTCGATGGACGTTGTTGCCATGGTTACTAAAAATAGAAATTTCTGTGAAATTCCTTTAAAACGCTACTCCTGCTACAGTTTTGGTTCGATTTCAATATAACTTGGCACACAAGTAGACTACACTAAGATACATAATTTAGTGCATCGGTTTTTGATTTCCATGGACGGTGTTGCCATGGTTACTAAAAATAGAAATTTCTGTGAAATTCCTTTAAAACGCTACTCCTCCTACAGTTTTGGTCCGATTTCAATATAACTTGGCACACAAGTAGACTACACTAAGATACATAATTTAGTGCATAGGTTTTTGATTTCCATGGACGGTGTTGCCATGGTTACTAAAAATAGAAATTTCTGTGAAATTCCTTTAAAATGCTACTCCTCCTACAGTTTTGGTCCGATTTCAATATAACTTGGCACACAAGTAGACTACACTAAGATACATAATTTAGTGCATTGGTTTTTGATTTTGATGGACGGTGTTGCCATGGTTACTAAAAATAGAAATTTCTGTGAAATTCCTTTAAAACGCTACTCCTCCTACAGTTTTGGTCCGATTTCAATATAACTTAGCTTACAAGTAGACTACACTAAGATACATAATTTAGTGCATAGGTTTTTGATTTCCATGGACGGTGTTGCCATGGTTACTAAAAATAGAAATTTCTGTGAAATTCCTATAAAACGCTACTCCTGCTACAGTTTTGGTCCGATTTCAATATAACTTGGCACACAGGTAGACTACACTAAGATACATAATTTAGTGCATCAGTTTTTGATTTCGATGGACGGTGTTGCCATGGTTACTAAAAATAGAAATTTCTGTGAAATTCCTTTAAAACGCTACTCCTCCTACAGTTTTGGTCCGATTTCAATATAACTTGGCACACAGGTAGACTACACTAAGATACATAATTTAGTGCATAGTTTTTGATTTCGATGGACGGTGTTGCCATGGTTATTAAAAATAGAAATTTCTGTGAAATTCCTTTAAAACACTACTCCTGCTACAGTTTTAGTCTGCTTTTAATATAATTAGGCATACAAGAAGACTATACTAAGATACATAATTTATTGCATTGGTTTTTGAATTCGATGAACAGTGTTGCCATGGTTACTTAAAATAGAAATTTTTGTGAAATTCCCATTAAACGTTACTCCTCCTACAATTTTGGTCTGATTTCAATCTTATTTGGCACAGTTAGAATACACTACGATACATAATATGTATTTCTGGTTTTTTTTTTATTTGGGTGAATGGTGTTGTCATGGTTACTAAAAATAGAAATTTCCCTGAAATACTTTCAAAACGCTACTCCTCCTACAGTTTTCATTTGATTTCAATATAACTTGGCACAGAAGTAGACTACATTAAGATACATAATTCTATTTATTGTTGCATGTTGCAATTTTTCAAATCCAAGTGCTACTTTTCTTTTGTTATACAAACAGACCAGTAGAGCTACAGTCTCACCAGAGACTTCTGGTTAAAAAGGCTTTTGCAATTTTTATTTTACTGTTCTTTGTTTATTGTAGATTATCCTACCAAGTGGAGCATTTCTGAAAGTGAGATTAGCCAATGAAAATTCACTCAGCATTTGGTTGTATCCCTCGTTACAAGATTTCAATATGACAGAAGGTAAATATTATTGCATTTGTTTATAGATTTATAAATTTCCTATAAGGCCTTATATAAGATTTTCATTGATAAATTTGGACTTTTAATAGTCAGTTGCATTCTTACACTTGAATCACACCTAACACAGAACTATCAAACAGGATATTTACATGTACATTAGAGCAAGTGTTGGCATCAGAAAAGTCTTTAAATTTCAGAGTTTTGTTGGACTGCATTATAATATTTTCCATGATGTATAAGGAAGGCCCACATCATTCCATTGTTTTCAACAACTCACAAAGGCCAAGATATCAATGAATACCTCTTAACTGTAGCATAGCTGCTGCCATTAAGTTGATATTTAAGATAAAAAGTTTCCTTGTTTTATTTTCACAGGTCTGTGTGGTAACTTTGATGGATCAATGAATGATGACCTCATTCTTAGAAATGGTTCTGTATATACACAGTCTGGAAATAAGTATCTCCAGGACTTTGCTTCAGATTGGAGGTAAACAATTTAAATTTGTTTCTCATACTAATGAACTCTTCATGTTTAAATTTGATTGAATTGGTTAATAAAAGGGCCAAATTAATTTATTAAATATTTTACTAAATTTAAACAATTCATTGAAAAATGCAATTTCATTGTATTTTCTGTAATTGTTTCAGTGTTGCTGGTGAGGAGAGTTTGTATACAGGTATCTGTCCTGGACTGAATGTCTCCCAGGGACTTCCAGAGAACAAAATGTGTGACTGTTCTGGTACTGATGTGTTCAGCTGTAGTGTGTGGAATCTCAACAGGGACTGCCAGGCTTATAGAAAGTACAAAACAGGTACATAAAAGGCAAAAAAAAAAAAGAACAAAAAACAGAAGGACCAATCCTACTTGTACAAAAACCATTTAAAAATAGAAATGGAGACAATAAATATCTTGCCAAAAAAGGCTTACTATTCTATAAAAATAACTAAGAAGATTATATTTGATAAAACAAATTATGTTCACTGTTGAAGGTACATGTACATGTATTTGCGAAAGACTTCATTTTTGCATCATGAGATGTTTTTGATGTTATTTTTGTTAATAAAGGAATGGACTACACAGATCAAATGTTTAGAAGTGGTGTTTATGCAAAGAACTGTCGCCCCAATACTACCATTCCAAGATTTATGCAAATTGACTACGTATCAAAGCAGAATTATCAGGTCTGTAAAACAGTGTTCAAAGTATACATGAAAATAACAGTTGGAGAAAATAACAGCAATCTACTTTAAAAGAACTTTCTACTAGAGGTTTTTTTTTGTTGAAAATGTGAATTCCTTTAGTTATGCCACCATGTATAAATACATGTAGTTAATATTGCAATTAAGAAGAAAAATGTTTTGACAATTTCTTAAGCATGATACATGGAAATAAGCCAGTTCAACATATTTACATTATTTCACAGTTTGTACAAGATGAGGCAGCATTTCCTGCAGGGTGGACGGCTCAGACAGCCAACGAAAGTTGTGTTCAGCACATACAGAAGTCTGCTGTTTACAGAGAATGTCAGAACGTGATCAATGTGGACAGTCAGCACTATGTGGATATCTGTGTGGAGAATATCAGGGTATGTTTCAAAGCTGCAAGTTATTTCCATTTTCCAAGGTAGAAATTCTAAATAATCTCTTCCATCCCACATCTGATTGCTTCAAAGTGTGCAGTCATACCAATGTTTACCTATGAGTTACAGTTCAAACTATTGAAAAATAATCCAGTAATTTAATCTAGTTGCAATATTTTGATTATGATAGATATCCAATGACTCGTCCTGGATTAGCACTATAGATTCTGTAATGGAGGAGGACTGTGTATACCAGCTAGACAGAAACTACAGTGTGGGGGTGGTCGTGTCTGATGTGCAGTCGGGCCTCTGTCCAGATAACTGTTATAATAATGGGCAATGTGTTAATGGTATTGATTTGACTGTACTTTTTTGAATTCTCAATAAAGTTGTGTAAATTTAAGCTCATCAAGCAGATTTTCATAAGTAGAACTTATTATATGAAAGAAATTGATAGAATTGATTAATAGAAATGTTTATGAAATACAGTTTAAGACTGTTGGTAACTTCATCTCAGGTAACTTGAGGTAAAACTTGGATTTCTATTATTTTTCAGGAGAATGTCGGTGTAATGAGGATTTTATTGGCTACAATTGTAAAGTGAACAAGACAGTCCCTCCCACTCTGACCTTCCTCCCCAATGAGGGAATCTGTAACACTCTAATGTCCAGCTGTAGACATGTGTTTGTTTATGGGGACACATTTGTTAACAGTCCACAACTTACCTGCTATGCTGAACCAGTGAAAGTAAGAACATATTTTATTTGATGCATGTTAAATGTGTTTTTTGTGCAAAGAACAGGAGATAACGCAACAGATTTTTTTTTCTTTTTACATTAATGACAGTTTATTTACTGCTTTTATTTGAGTCATTGAAATTAAAGTGAAATGTGAATAAGTAAAATTTTCAGAAATTGAAAAAAAATTGTTATATTTGCCCATCTTCCAGTTGTTTTCTTCACCAAACCAAGGAGGGTACAACAAAAGTGGTGCTTTGGAAGAAGTCCCTATAACTTCCAGATATACTGGTGCCACTCAGTTGGCATGTTTTTTGCCAACTTCAGAACCTTACCTTTTATATGTCAGCAATGTCAACACCTCCACCATTAAATCCAATCCTTTGTTGTGGTTGCCTCACAACCCAGCCTGCTACAACTGTTCTGCCAAATCCGAATTTTGCTTCATGAAGGTTAGACTATTTTGGATTTTTTTTTCTAAATGAGAGGAGGAAAAATTACTTCTTTACATGAATATTAGGAAGTCTTCAAGGAGTTAAGTGTTGAATTTACTAGGGTATTTTTTTTGAACTTTTAAAACACATATTCAGTGATTTGGTTTAAAAATGAATTAATCACTAAAGCTAGAATTTTTGCATTAATTCTTGTTGGGAACTGTATTGACATTTCTTGCTGTTGAGAAATCCATGAATACTGTGATTCCTCTGTAGGATGATGTATGTGTGATTGATGGAGTGTGTTACCTGAACATGACAGAAAATGCTAAGGACCCCTCCCAAGTGTGTGACCCACAAAAAAGTCAAACAGAATGGTCTAACAGGACAAGTAAGGCCATTTTAATTATCCATCCAGTATTGTTGTGTGCACAAAATTAAGAATGAAAATTTTTACAGATTTGGATGTTTTACCATAGTTACATGTACAAAGCTTGCTTTTATTTATTGTTCTTGAATATGTTGATACTTGTCCTTTTTAATGTTTTGAATATTGTTTTGAGCTTTCTTTATGATGAATTTATTATCTGCAGGCCTGTGTCCCTTCTCCATGATGCAATGGATAGAGATGAATTCAACAACTCTGGTTTTTCACAACGATAAAATCATCTCAAACATTGCTAATCTAGATGACTGTCGCAATGAATGTGTGACTGAGAAGGAGTTTAGATGTCAGTCTGTAGAGTACAATGCTGAAACAAAAGATTGCCAGTTGTCTCGTATTCAGGTCCGCGAAGCTGAGAGCTATTTACTGCAGGGAGATTTCAGTGAAGGGTGGACTTACAGTCACTGGTATTGTACAAAAGGTAGGAAGGAAAAGAAAAAAACAAATTTTTGTGTATTTGTGCAAGATAAAAGTTAATTTTGCATTGAATCTCATACTAAATGATAATGAAAATTAGTCCCTAGCTATGATTATAATAATTTGCAATGTTTTCAGATCCATGCCCATCCAAGAAGATTGAATGGAATCGTGATTCTAAATATGAAGGTTATTTCACTGCTGACAAGGACCTTGATATCCTGTATGATGTATGGAGGTATGAGGACTGCCGTGGACTATGTGAACGTGAACCAATGTGTAGAGCCATTAAATTCTCCCCGGAGAGGGGGATATGTACTCTCTCTGATGGAGCACGAAGAATTGACATGGCTACAGGAACTTATCAAAGCTACCCTGGTTGGGAATATCACTCATTTACATGTGAAGAAGGTTAGAGCTTTATAAAATATTAAACGTGACAAAGAATAACTCACATTTTCTTAGATGTTTATTCATTTTTTAATCAGGAAAGATATTTGACTTTGTTTAAACAAAAAGTTGTACAAAATTATCACAAACTTGGTGAAATGTCTGTAAAATTGGGACATCATTATTATGAAATCTTTTATATTGTGATAGAGGATTGTTTGCCAAAATTTTTCCTGCTAATTGTATTTCAGTATCAGAATTTTAAAAGAACTTACTGGTTAAAATATAGTAAATATCATAAGTTGCATGTATGCATCCCTAATATTGGAATCCATACTTTTGAACATATATTATATACTGTATAATGTACACCCCAAAAATGAAAAAAGTAAGTTTTCTCCTTTTATTGGTATGATCTACATCAAAGGAAGTATATATTAAATCTTTTTTGGACATTATAGGATGTTTAGCTCTTGAAAAGGGGTTTCATTTTTTTGTCTTAGGTAAAATGCACACAACCTCTCTCTCTAGACAAAAGTTGGGTGTATTAAGTCTGCTGTATGGGTGCAATTTCAAGAGCTGACTTCCATATGTTTTAAATTTCAGAGAAAGAAATAGGACCAACTGTTATGAATGCTGAAGTTAAACCCATATACTCAGGTTCAGGTCAGGATGAGGTCATTTGTGAATTTAATAAACTAAATGATGCCAGGGAAGTTAATTATTACATCCTTTGGAGGGTTGATGGGAAATATTTGTATGAAGATACTAATGTCACAGATCAAAAACTTCCCTCACAGCTGGCTAACAGCATTAAAGATGGAACAAAAGTAAGTCAAATTAATCATGCATTTAAATTCATCCAAATGTTAATTTAAAAAAATGTTCTTTTTGACAATTATTTTACTGTCAATCAGTCTTTAGTTGTAGTTGTGAGAACTTTATTGATGTATTATTTCTAAAGGTTGTTTAGATGTCATCTTCACAATGTCAAGGTTTTGTGATTTAGTTCCTCTACACAAAGGAACAGAGAGGAATGATAAACACAAAATATTGACATTGTGAAGATGTTCAGATATAAAAAATAAAGTATTCATGAATGTTTTGAAAGTGCTTAATATCATATGGAGGAAATGAAAAAATTGCCGTATAGTGGGTTTCTTTAGAGGGTGTAAAATTTTAGCTTTTTGCTAGCTCAAAGGAATGCCAATAACTTTGACAGAAATTTTTTTGGCTGGATTCCATGAAGTTGCAATCCAGTAAAATAATTTGGTACCACTTAATAAAAGACTGCGTAAGGTACTGTAGATATGTAGATATATCTTTCAGATGAGTCTATGGTACGTTTTTACATTTGAATACCAATTTGCACTGGATTTCAGAGAGTACATGTTTACAATTGTAAACAGCCAGGTGAAAGTTATTTTTGCTTGTGGTCAGTACTTACATGTACATGCAAGAGTGCAAATTTAGTGATTAAAATTTTAGTAGGCTTCTACCAAACCATTAAATAAGACAAAATTGGCACCATGCTTAAAATTTCCACTATATGGTATCTATTTTGGGTGACGATTGTCTTGGGAAAATAAGATCATGCAATCTCCAGAAAACTAGGATATGTGTATATAAGGCATGAGCATAAGTTGTTCTTTGGATACTCCTTCAGATTTTGTGCTCGGTGAGTGCTTGTTACAATGGTTCGTGTGACTCCAGAGGGAAACTATTCACCTCCAAAGAGTATGTGGCTACACTGCAAGTAAGTTTTTGTGAATTAAAAACGCAAAAAAGTGGATAGAATTGTGAAGATTCAGAGTTGTTACCACTGGTTCTTGTTTAAATCCCTTTCATTAAAAAAGGAAGATATTAATTTGTATCTCTTTGTCCATCTGTATATTTAATCTCAAATTTGTTTATGATACCTCCTAGATTAGTAGAAGAAGAGAGAGATAGACATTCCTTAAAATAGTTTTCTTCATGTCAAATTTCAAATACTGTGCTTGGTAAAATTTGATGTTTTTTTTATTTAGGTCATATTGCATGCTACTAAGCCTTGCAGAAGTTTTGAGAATGAATTGCATGTACTAAAAATCAGTTATTTTGAACAAGTTGCAGTAAGTGATGTTGAATGAAATTTTCTTTTACATCAGTATGAATACATTTTTATTTTGTTACAGATCGTAGGCAGAGACAACATTGACCTCCCAGAGGGAGCAGACCCAGAAATGTACGAGATCACCCCCACAGCTCCCCCATATGTCCTTTGTAGAGATCAATCACTGAGTGCCCCTGATAACTGTAGTATAAGATTGAGCACCAAGACTCCACTGGATAACAGTGAGCTGAAGTGTCCAGGAGGAAAAATTATCAAACAGTTGGCTGTCAGCATGTATCTTAAGGTAGAGTGGGAAAAACTAATCAGCTGTTACTTTTGTTCAGACGAGCCTTGGACTCCTTTACTAACAAACTCATTAACAGACTTGGAACATTTAATATCCGGACAGTCATGGAAGATATTAAACATGATAAGTTGGAGAAATTGTAGTTTAATGTATTATACAAATACATGTATATACTCTGAATTTACTTTTAAAAAAATTGGAGCTTTTGATTGGAAGACTTCTTATTGTTAACTCTATTTGTAACTGATATATCATATATCATATTTTTATTGTGCAGTCTGCAGACCAGAAGACTCCAGTTTGTTCAATGAAGATAACCAATGACAACTGGATGCAGGCTCATTATAGTGTACAACTAAAGGCAACAACAGACAACAAGTATGATGGGGATCATGTTAGACAGATGACATTGATGGCTGATTATCTGGTGAATGATAAAGCAGAGAGGGAAAATGTCACTAAAAAGGATGTTAAGGTTTGTTTATAAACTACAAATACATGTTAGATTGCTAAAAAATATAAGCAAATGATAGGTGTAAGATTTGAAGGTTAATTGTGTTTAAGGGTTATTGTCTCATTTCTATTCACTTTCTGATAAAATTGTCTGTATGATTGTAGGTTAATGTATTGGATAGAGACAGGAGGGCCCTGTGTATATCTGTAAATGATCCTCACATCACCACATTTGATATAAGGTAGGGTATTTCCTATAAAAAAAAAAAAGTAGAGTTTAATTTAATAACTTAGGTTGAAGCTTATTGTACACTAACAAAAACAACAAGGGTACATAAAATACATAATACATGATAGAGCAAATACACAGGAAAATTTGTTTTTAATGCATCTGTTGGCAACACATGTACATAACTTCACAATATCATGTACTAGAGCATTAAGTAGGGCTGAAACAATACACCCCCTCAACGATACAGTACGTATCGCGATACTTGTGTCACAATTCAATTTTTTCAATATGATACATTTTAAAAAAAAGAAACAAATCATAAGGTTAAAGAAAACATGCATTCAGATTTCAAAAGGCAAGTTAAAGAGGGTGATACAAGAAAGAACACTACTTGAGTTTCTGTAGATTAAAAGAGCACTTTGTTTGTGTCAATACTAGCAGTGGCAGCCTGCTCTGAAACTTTCTCCATCGTGTGTCAAACTATTAAAATGAGGTCGAACCCGATCTATTTCAAGATGAAACTTAACCCGATTATGAAAAAAAGTACTGAACCGAAAATCTAGGTAGTGAATTGAACATTGAACCGAGCAATAATATTGAACACTATCAATATTTCGGTAAATCGTTCCAGCCCTAGCATTAAGTTTCAAAAAATATAGCATTCATCTAATGTATATATATATATATATATATATATATATATATATATATATATATATATATATATTATTATAGAGAATATAACATATCATTCATCTAATTTCAGATATATCAACAACTTCTTTGAGGGAGAATTTGTCTTGTATCGACACAAGACACTTCCATATTCCGTCCACACATTCTATAGGAGTTGTAATGGCCGAGCTTCCTGTAACTGTGCCGTGGCAGTGAAGGCAGATGATGATGTCTTATTGGTCGATAAATGTGGCCCAACAGAATCTAGCACTGGGGGATTTTATCCAATAACAATCAAGCTTTTCAGAAATGGGATCTTAACACCAGGTTTCAAGATCTACAGTTATTATGAAGGACGTAAAATTAAGGTATGTCAAAGTTTGCCATTTGAACCGCAAAATGAAATAACAAGAAACTTGATCTTTCATTAAAATTAATCTATTTTGAAGAGGGGGGTTTAATAGCTTTTGATTGGAAATAAACACAATAATGATGTGAAAATTGAGGTTTTATAGTTGTGCATGACAGGTCTTCTACATTCTTGAATTTTATGAAAAGAACAATGGAATCTATCAGTGCAAAGACTAGCAAATTTACATTAATATAGGCAATCCTGCCAACTGGTACTACAGTGAACATCAAACGCAGCGTGATCAGGGGACAGAACTTTCTTAATGTCTGGCTCAAAGCTTCAGCTGCTGATTACAACAAAACAGAAGGTAAGGACTCTTATCATATTTCTAATTTACTCTTGATATTGCAGGTTTATAACACCATTTTACAAAGCTGGACAGTTCTTTTTCATACATGTATTTGACTATAATGCATTTCTATAATAATTATTATGTAAAAACTTTTTTCTGGTTTTAGGACTTTGTGGCACATTTAATGACAACAAAGATGATGATCTAACCATGCCAAATGGAACAATTTCCATGGAAACTTCTAAACAAGCACATGGATTTGCATTAAGTTGGAGGTATTTTTTCCCCCAATTTTTCAAGTATTCTTGCAAAATTGTCTTTACCATTTATTGTCACTGGGTTTAGTAAGTTTCAAAACTATAAATTTCCCAGTTTTGTTTTCTTACTAGAGCTTTGATACATATACACGTAAGTTGTTGCTAGAAAGGTTGATGATTATGATTTTTGAGTGCCCTCTATTTTTACCCATGTTAATGTCAAATTTAGGGTGGATCCCAAGAGAACTATTTATACAGGAGTTTGTCCAACAGTGAGAACTGCAAATGAGGAAGTTCAAACCACCCAGGAATCTTACTGCTTTTGTGATCAGTCCAATGACTGTGCACCTGGAAATGATGTCACTTCTTGTCCAATTGAATTTGAAGGTTTGTGCTTTTTCCAAACATTAGATGTTAAGGTGTGATAAGATGAGGTATGTGTCTTTTGAACTAGCAAAGCTTAATATAAGAAATACTACTGAAATGGTTTACACTATTGAGCGTTCATACAAATATTAAGACTTTTTGCTAAAGAAATTGACCTAAAAATGAGATTAGAGCATGATATTCAGTAAATTTTTTTTTTATGTACCGTATTTGGCCGAATATAATACGCATTGGTGTAAAATACGCACCCCCCTTTTTGAGCCTGAAACTGGGGGAAAAAACGCAGTTCGGTTGTATTATACGCAGCAGAAAATTTTACCAAGCGGTGTTCTGAACTTCTGAAAATCGCGGTAATTTGCTATCAAAATCGGCGCGGAGATAAAGTCCCGAAAATTTACAGAACACGATATTTTATTCAAATGCGTTTTTATTTCTTAATCTTGACTTTCCAATATCGCGGCAATCTGGAGAAATTATTTATTTTAACAAAGCATGAGATAATGTTGCATTAAAGTATTAACAGAGTTTATTATTATTTTTTTTAGCATACGGTGATATTGAAACTATACGTCGCCGTATTCTAACTTTTCTTTGTAGAAATACAAATGTAATTTTATTTCAACAAAGCACGAGATATTGTTGCAAGTTTAACAGTTGTCATATTTATTTTTAGTTTAAGGTAATCATGTTGAAAATTACGTAAATTTAACAGGGCAAGCGATATTGCAACATCAAAGTATTCATAGACTACGATTTTCCTCTTTTGAACTTGAAATTAATTAATTAAATAAATAGCTGATGTTATAAAAATAAAATCAAATTTAACAAGCGTGTAAAGTTATCAACACACCTCCAAAGCTGTGAAAAATGATGTACAAAGGTGGGATATATATGTCTTCATACATCGAGGTTATCTTCGTGGATATCTTATTTTCTACAGAGCACGAGTAAATGATAACACTTAAGTTTCAACATACTTCATATTTCCTTTCTTAACTCTCAATTATTTTAACACGATGCCGATATAAGATAAAGTAAAATTACATTTAACAAGCGTTTAACTGTTTAATGTGTCGTAATCACATACGAAAGATCATAAACCAACCCCCGATTTTTAACAAAGAAAATAATCAAGGCCATTAATAAGGGCAGTAAATAATCAGTACTCTAACTGTAAAAACAATGCTTTGGAGTTGGTAAACAATTTAATTGCCTGGAGGGGTGTTGAGGGGTAATTATCAAGTGACAAGCGCACGTGTTCACAACATTGGCTTCCATTCATTGGGACGTATAGAGGGGTGTTTATGTTGAAATGAATTTTCACTGAGTTATTTAAACCCTAAAATAATTTTATTTTATTGTATTTCATTAAAAAATGACTTATTACTTTTTTGACCGGTGTCTGACTGATTAGGTACATGTGTATTATGATTACGGAAGCACGTGGCAAAGGAATGTGTGAACATCTATAAATAACATCGTTAATGGCGGCCTACATGGAAACGATGAACATGCAGCTCAAAATTAATTTTAACTTGCTTTTAAATTTAATTTAACTATCAAAAGGTTATAAATATTACATTTTTAATGAGCCTACATTTCAACAATAACTTTCCGAAGTTTTAAATACGGCGATAAACAGCAGGAAATTGCATAAGTCTCTAGGTAATACTACGGTATGTGCGTATGATAGCCGTGTTTCACATGAAAGAAAAACCTATCAAAATCCCATTGTGGTGTAAAATACGCACCCCTTTCTCACAGAAAATTATTTTGGGAAAAAAGTGCGTATTTTATTCAGCCAAATACGGTAATAAAATCTTTTATATATATATATATATATATATATATATATATATATATATATATATATATATATATATATATATATATATATATATATATATATATATATATATATATTTGATAGATTCTGAGGACATCACTAATTCTCTGCTGTTACGGTCTCTGTTCCCTACCAAATGTAACAGAGAGCTTGCCCAGTCAACTTATCAATACCCAGATTTTGAGTACACAGCCAATGATATACCTTTGGTTAGTAGTTATTCTATCTATTTTATTTTTTTTGGTTTATAGATTACATTTAGAGATATGTAAACTATGTAAAGTATCAGACTTGTGTATAAAATATGATGGAGAACTACCTGGTTTGCTTAAAGGTGTTGACTTGGCCTACAAAGAGTGGACTTAAAGAGAGTCAAGCCAGGGGTTTATGCCAGGTCATCTATATTCAAAATTCAAATGCAGCCATGACATGTAAAAATATCCCAGGAGTGGACGATGAGGCAGCAACTGAAAACTGTGTGGAGGATATCCAGGTAATATGGCTCAAAAGACATGACAAATGCAGTATTTACATGTGACCATGACTTTGAATGTTTCCTTCTTAGATTTTGAATCTTACTGAGTTTTGAATTTTAAAGTAATGTCTCCAATATTTTTTAAACATTTGTGGTTATGATTAGAAGTTAGAAATTTCTTAAGTGTAACAAAACTTATGTCTAATCAATTGTATGGCGACAAGATTTAATTTCTTAAGTTTAGCAATACTTATGTCTAATCAAATGTATGGCAAAAAGGTTAAATTTATTGTTTGTGAAATGAATAATTTACCTTTATTCAGTTTTACATATGCTTTAGTTATGGGGTATACACGCATGAAGTACATAGTGAAGATATTTATTACTAAATTATATTCTCTTTAACCATAGTTTTGATATTGGAGAACTTTTACTCAAATTAATTTTTTATTGTAGATAACAGATGACAGTCGTTGGGGTTTTACAGCTGTAGAGAACATTAAGGAGATGTGTGAGGTACATTTGATGTACAATGTTAGTCTCTGGACCACATCTGCAGGGGAGATAAATCCTGCACCACCTGACAATGTAATGTCTCAGCTTTGCTTAGCAGAATGTGGAGGTGCAGGCACCTGTGAAAATAGTAAGTTCTCTCCTTGAAATTCATCTGTATGAAATTTACAATTGATGTAAGTGGCTCTTAGCTGGTATGTGGTTGCTACTTAGTGATTATAAATTATTGTTGAAGTCTTACAATTGTAGAGTTTACACATTTATTTTTATTTGAAATATGTGAAGAAACAAGTTATTAAGCAGTATTAAGGACTGATAATTTTGTGTAAAGATTGTGGCTTCAAGAGAACAACAACCAAAAAAAAAATGAAATCAGATAAAAAATGATTTTTTCCAAGCTGCAGTATTACGCACTCAATTGTACATGTATCTTAAGGAGTAAGTATTAAAGAGTATTTGTAATTTTTAGGAACATGTAAATGCCAGGCTGACAGAGCTGGCTTGGACTGCTTTGTGGAGAGATTTACCGCTCCTAATTTGTTTTATCTCGGTGGCAATGGCCTGTGTGACCTGAGGACCAGTCCCTGTGATCTTATTACCATCTACAATAACAACACTGAAAACAGCCCATTGCTGAACTGTCAGTTCACAAAACTAGAGGTATACTTCATTCCAGTCATAAGTAGAAATAGTTCTTCATTTTGAAAATTACATAAATATTTCCATGTATTTTCTACAGAATGTCACATGGTATCAAATGGCAGAAAAAGTAAACTGCTATCCTTCTCCAATGTAACAGAATTTAATAGAAAAAAATGTAGGAACTAAAATAGCAAGATTAGTTGAAAGTGTTAAATAATCTACAGAATTTGCTGTACATTTATAGTGATACCTTTGTAATGTTGGGGAAAATGGTATCTTTTGATATAGTAGCAAGTCAATATATTTTGTCCCAAAACCAAGTCATATCTGAAGTTTCACAATCCTCATACATGTATCAACTTAGGAATTAGACAATAAAAGAGTTTTTGATGATTTTTTATTTACATGTACCTGAAGCATCAATAAAATGTAAATATGATGGAATGTATTGTACCTGTTGTAAATGCATTAATGTGTTAATGTCATTGGTCTTTTTATTGTTTTCAGCAAAATGAGACTGGCTTCATCTTAGATCCAACAAGCATGAAATCAGTTAGTGCCAATTATGTGACATTTAATGAACTGACATGTAAACCACCGACTGTTGGAAGTTATGAAGTGAAAATAGGTAACAACGGAGCTAATGAATCAAGTGGCAGCAGTGGCCCCGCCTACTTTTTGGTCTATGACTCACTGTGCTTTGATTGCAACATCAACACTCTCACATGTCAACAGAAGGTAAGCTTTTTTTCAGATTTAATGCGAAGGAAGAGAATTTAACTCACTAAATAACACCAGATATTTTTATTTTCTAAGTACGGAAAGTAAAATTACATTGTGTATCATTTTAGATTTGTGCATTGTACAAAGTTACATACATGTACATGTATTTATATAGTCTACTCTATTAAGAAAGCAATAAGAGAGAGAAAAGTAAATATTCTGTTATATATTAAATTTTTCTTGAAATTGATGAAAAAAGTTGTATATCAAGGTGAATAATTGGAGCTACATGTAGTTAATTTTGGCTAGACAGCTTTTTTTTTTTTTTAAATTTTAAACTTAGTGAATGGGATTGGGCAGTGTAATAAAAGTGTATGAAATGAAAACAAATATATATGTTTGCCTTCATAAGAAATTACTAGCATGCACAAGTTTGTTTTGCAAAAACATCTTGTTTAAATCTCTTTTTAACAGACCACTGCATGTCTGATTGATGGAAACTGCTATGAACCAGGGGAGTATAACCCCCAAAATGCTAGGCAGTTCTGTGATCCTAAAGTCAACCATACAGAGTGGCAGCAAGCTGAGGGTAATATGCCATTATAATTATCAGAATCAAAAATGAGGATGTGAAATAACAATCTGTATTGCAATTATTGCCTCTGAATATCCTCAAGGGGACTGAGTTTGTTTCAAAGTATTCAAGTGCTGGAGAAAAAAAAATTGCCTGTTGGTATGGAACCAGTAATTTTACTGCACACATGTCCAATGAAGTAGTTATTTTTTAGTGACTTCTTCTCCACTGGTCAGGTTTCCCATTGATTCAAAGCTTTTAATCAGGAACTAAATTTTGATGACATAAATGATTAGTAAAAATTATGTTTGTTTCAGATTCTTGTGAACTCCTTGATCTGGAATGGTTTGTATACAACATGAAGAAGTTGAATAAAGGCTTTGAGATTGAGAGTGTGGATTTGGATGGAAACCTGAGCCGCTGTGATCGAGCTTGTCTGGATTACTACACCAATCCTGTTTGTCACAGCTATGATTTAGACAGTTCCACTAACAACTGTACACTGATGACTGCTGATTATATCTCTAAAGCTACACCACTAGAGGAGTCAGCTGATAATCTCCACAGAGAATGGCAGTGTCATAATGGTGAGGGAAACTTAATTATATTTATAATTGATGATAATTAGTATGCAAGAGAATTATTTCATTTTATCTATAATTCTTTTTTAGGAATATTTAAGGTGGGATGGGGTGTTCTTGTTGTTTTGGTCAGTAATTAGAATCTGCAAATAATTGTTCTTTTCAAAAAGTGAAGGAAATGCATACATGTAGGTCAAAAAGTACAAAGTCATGTTGCCATTTTTACTTCAGATCCATGTGGAAAAAGAGGCATTACCTGGATCAAAGAACCTGGTTACGCCATTGACAAGTATGATGATAAAACAATAAACAATGTCCTAACAGCCACAGGATGTAAACAGCTCTGCTTGATGGAGAAGTCATTCTTGTGTAAATCTGTGGAGTATTTGGCTGGGATGGGAAAATGTGTGTTGTCCAGGTCACAACGGCAAGATGTGGCACCCTCTAATTTCATCAGGTGGCCCGGTTATGTGTATCATGAGTGGTCATGTAAATCAGGTGAGAATATGTGGTTGCCACAATAAAAAATAGAGAGTGAATTAAAAAGTTAAAGTGATTGGATTTTCAGAGTTTAAACAACTAGCAGTTTCTCCTTTTTGATTAAGTACATGTAATTATGTCTTTAATATTAAAAAATAACATTAAGCTGATATAAAAAAAATTGTCTAATGTCAAGTTGTATTCATAACTTTAGCTTTAAAGAATGTCTTTATAAACTAAATGTCATGATATTTTATAGGAAATGACTATCCAATCCTGCCTGCAAATCCTGAAGTGACACTGGCTCATCAAGGAGAAAACACAACTCTTGTTTGCAAGTTTCCCACTGTAAATAAAACAGAGGACCTTACATACACTGTTCGCTGGATCATTAATGGTCGGGTAGTGGAAGAAACAATGCTGAACAACCAAACAGAAAATGTGGCACTTTACATGAATAAGACGTATCTACACAGTCATAAGTTTGGCACAAAGGTATTGCCTACTATTTAAAAAGGGACTGAAACATTTTTTTATGTCAACTATGATTTTGCAGTTTAGTTACTGTGAAATCACTAACTTTCATGGGGTATCAATTTCGTTGTTTTCGAGGTAAGTAGAGACACCCAAATTCATGTCCACCAGGAAATGTAAATTGTTATATATATAACTACTCAATACTTCTCCAACCACGAAATCAAATCCCTCAAACCAATATTTTTCCATCAAACATCAAACTTTTGACCCCATAAAATTATGTGCTTTTACAGGAGCTGATTTGTTGATTTCATAATTTTATTTTGAATTAGATTCTGTTTGATTGATTTTTTTTAATACAGGAAAATGAGAATCTAGTATTATAAGGATACGTTTAAAACTGAATGGATTTTAAAAATGAACTACACTTTAATTTCTATTTGATGTTGTTTTTTTTTGTAGTTTGCCTGTGGTGTGTCTGTTTGTCTGTCCAGTAGCTGTAACACAACAACTGGGGCCTTTAGGAGAAGTGAACAAATCGAGATTAAACTGGAGGTACTATTGTACACTATTTAGTTCTTGTTACAAAAAAATTCTTAGATTGAAAAATGGGGAAAAAAATTGTTTAGTATGTAGAGAGGAAATAGTCCTTAGATTCTGAAGAAAAGAGTTTTAAAATATGTCTCATAGTTTAGTTAATAACTTTTCATTTCTTGATAAGACAGTGATTATGTAAGCCAAAATTTATTCTTTATTGTCATAAAGGTGACCCCAGAGAAGTCATTGACCCTGATTGAGGGTGAGACTGGTAAGCCAGTGTTGGTCCAGATGACTGTTCCTCCCTCCTTCTTATGCCCCCTTGACACCCCTCATGAGGAGTGTTCTGTTCTGGTGTCCAGTAGAGCTGTCAGGAATGAGAAGACATTGACCTGCAGAGACAGATCTGACATGCAGCAGGTTGTGATCAAGTCAGTGACAAGGTCAGTTAAGACACAGAAGATAGACAATGATTATTTTATCTGTCCAGATTGTTAACAGAAACAGATTCATATAAGCAACCTCAAATGTATTATCATTTTTCCTATAACTTAATTGCCAGTATTTGGATATTTTTTGATACAATCAATTTACAATTGATTTAAATAAGTTTCAATATTTTTGCAGATCTGTAAATGATTCCTGTGGATTTATGATAAATAATACAAACTGGAGGAACTCATTTAAGCTAATGCTGAAAGCTAAAATTGATGGTCTGTATGATGGTGATGTTATGCAGGATGTCAAATTACTGGGGAAGGTTGTCATCAGTGGAAACACTTCAAGAAGTTCAGACCTTCATACCCTCAGTGTAAGCAATAAAGGGGGTTCTGGGTTTGCTCTGTCATTGATTTGTACAGTAAAAACTTATATAAGTATTCTATCAAATGTACTTGAAATCTGTCACAATGTGCAGTATGTACATCTCGCTTAATTATCACAAATTGCTATGTGAATGTACCATGTATGTGGTATCTTCTTTTAGGCTACAGTTGAAGACATGGATCGTCCATCCTTATGTAGATCTTTGAATGGACCACATATTACTACTTTTGATGGAAGGTACATAATGCAAAACTTTGAGCATTCTTACAAGCAAATTACATGTTTCTTGTATTATTTTTAAGTTTCTGTAAAATAATAAAAAATATTTTCAGATACTACAACAATTTCAATGAAGGAGAATTTGTCATGTACAGACACAATAATATGCTGTATGAGGTTGGTGAATTCTCACATCTAATGCTCATAGGTGAAATTTTTAAACCTGCTGGTCAAGCTATTCTTAAGTGTTTGGATCTGTATTACAGAATGTGTTTCTATTTTCAGGTGCGTAATTTTAATCGTCGCTGTAATGGACGGGCTATTTGTACCTGTGCAGTGGGCATTAGATCAGGGGATGATGTGGTTGTGATTGACAAATGTGGCAAAGGAATGACCCAGCAGGCCAATCAACCAATCAGAGTGTACCTCTTTAAGAATGGAGAACTAAGTCCTGGTACAAAAGTGTACAGACAGGCTGAAGGAAGAAAATTTAAGGTGTCCATAATATTTCTAGGATAAAATATCTAAAACTGAAATTAGAAATATTATAAAATATATTTAAAATGCTGGTATGTTTATAGCTTTGAGATTTCATTTAAAACACATGAAAACAACTGTTAGCTGTTATTTAGTTTTGTTTAATTTTATTGTGAACATATTGTATCAGATTTTTTTGTGTGTTCACAGGTCATGCTTCCCAAAGGAACTTCGGTAACCATCAAAGTGTCCCCAACTGGCCTTGATGTCTGGCTGCAGGGATCAAGTGTTGATTTTAACAGTACTACTGGTAGGCCAAAATTTTCATCAACTTCTCATTGTCTGATACCAGAATTTAGGGTGTCCTCAGTGGACACTAAATAGATGGAAAATAAGTTCATTCCTAAAAGATGAATTGACTTTAGACATACATTACATGTCAGATTACCTCTTCATAAAATTTATTGGATACTTTCGATGTAATTCTTTTTCCAAATTTTAATTTATTTTACTTCATACAGGTCTTTGTGGTAATTTCGATGGTAGAAAGCAGAATGATTGGACACTCCCAGATGGCTCTATGTTTGATGTTCCAGGTCTTCGCCCAGACCCATTCTCTCTCTCCTGGAGGTGTGTAAAATTATCTGTAAAGGGATTCTATTCCTTTTATTCAATATTAAAAGTACAGGATACTGTATATGTGTGGTGAAACCAGTATATGAGAACCTTGCTATAGACTTCAAAGATTATGAGGAAATTAAGTAAAGATTGCTAACATTTTCAACATTGCATGATAAGAGATTTTCTTTAGAATGTTAGAAATTTCAACTCAATCCTTTTAGAATATACAGTATTCCTTCCCTTTTTAGAGTGATGAAAAATGAGAGTCTGCTAACAGGGTCATGTGACCAAATGACGGTAGTTGACCCAGATTTATGTGACTGTCCATTAGGGGATACTTCTTCTTGTCACTCTGGTGCTTGCTACCAGTTATGTCCCCTGAACAGAAAACAACAGAAAGGTATTGTAAAACCATCATTCTTGCATAGATAGTGAGTACATATTGTTCATTATCGTACTTTCTATCATTTAATTCTTTTGAAAACTTGAAAATCATCTTGAAAAAATCATGTTTTTGGGAAATAACTGGTCATATTCATTAGTGTAAAATAGATAGTTTATATGGACTCTAAAAATTTGCCCTATTTCATTTTAACGATATCAGAATATTGTATTTGGCAAATTTTCAAAGTCTTGTATTGTTTGATGTATTTCAAAATCAAAGTAATTTGACAAGAAAATCTGTTTGCTTTAGATGACCTAACACAAATACTGGTTGGCAGATCTATGTGCATGGCATCTGTTGGCTGTAATGAAACAATGTATGAATATGATGAAGAATACAAAGCAAAGGTATGTCCAGTGTAGGTGAGAGAAGGAAACTAAATATATAGTAATTTTAAATTCATAAAGAAATAAAAAATGATTTTTAAGAGTTGCATGCATTAAAAGCACTCTTTCTCTTGGAAAACTTGTAGATATCTGGTTTCAAGTCTCTAGTTACCCTTAAAAGTTGATAAGCTAGGAAAAACAAGAATAGAAAAATACCTTCTTTGTTTAGGATGTTGACTGGCCCACTATGTCTAACGTCACTTATGAGATGGCCAGAAATCACTGCCTTAGTGTTCTGGAGAACAGCATGAGGGCCTCTCTCTGTTCCAATGTCACAGACACTTCAGAAATCCTTGACCTTTGTATAGCAGAGATCAAGGTAAGCTGCCTCAGACAGGACATCAACTTAATTAAAAAATTTTCATTCTTTGTTAAGTACACTGACACTGATCAGTACACTGATTGTTTGTTTTATTCCCATCTCTGTAGATAGAGGACTCATTTAATTTGGCCTCAACTGTACTAGAACATTTGGTGGAGATCTGTGAGGTTGAGTTGACACGTAATGTGAGTTTATGGACAAATGACAGTGGGATGCTTGCTCCAGATAGCTCAATTCTTGGGAAGCTCTGTCTTAACAACTGTAGTGAGAGAGGACAGTGTGTGAATGGTCAGTATAGAAAAAAAAATCCTAGATTATAGAGTAACTTGCAATAGCATCAACTTATTTAGTACATGTACCTATGCTACACTTGCTGTAGATCATTTTAACATTAAATTAATTGTTAACTCTGTATAAGCAGTATCCACTAATCTCAAATGTAAAGAAAATTTGCAAGTACATGTATGTTGTACACTGTGATAGTTATAATTATTTTGAATGTTAAGAATGCTGTAATCTTAATATTTGAGACAGTAGAGTTGCCCTTTTTGGCATATGTATGGTTAATGTACTATAACAGTACAATATATTTAATAGTTTCATGAATTTTGCCATTGTTCATACAGTATCTATGCTTTATATAGGGACATGTGAGTGTGATCCAGATTTGGGTGGTGCTGACTGCTCTGTCAACATGACAGTGGTGCCAGATTTATGGTTCCTCAGAAATAATGGACTTTATGACCTCAATGAGAGGCAGTGCAGTGATGTGGCAGTCTTTGGAACAACATTTGTCATGTCGGACAAACTCATGTGTAGAATCGAACCAGTTAAGGTAACAGCTGATTTACTTTAATATATTTTAAACTTGCAAATTTTATATTCTTACAAAGATATAAAGCATGTACGGTAATATGAACTGTTTAACAAACAAGAATTTTCTGTCTGTGCATAGTTGTTGGATGGAGGTTACAACAGAACAGAAGAGGAAATATATGTTCCTGCCATCCTGGTGACCTATAATGAAATACTCTGTCCCCTTCCATCCAGGAGTAGCTACTTTATAGCAGTATCTAATGACAACAGTACTTGGAGCTCATCCAGTCTTCTGACTGTATTCGACAGCAGGTGTCATGAGTGTACAAGATCTGGAATGTGCCGATTCAAGGTCAGTTGGAAATTTGTTTAGATTTAGATGTTTTAAAATTACACTCCTTTTAAGTATGATAGAATCAAACCAGATCATTGGGAAATATTGTTCATATGAATGTTACAGATGTGTTCATATAGATTTCATTTTGTTTTTTTATGGCTAGTTTGATGAGATTTAATGCTCTAAATGATTCTTTTAAAGGAACAAAAATGCTTTATTGAGAATGTGTGCTACAACATTGGCGAGTTTAACCCCATCAACTCCTCTCTGATTTGTAATCCTTATGAGAATTATGACATGTGGAGTGTCAAAAGAGGTAATATTTTTTTGCTGAAAATTTACATATTTAACTGTCATAGGTGTAAAATCTTTCTATTCACAGTAGAATATTATGTACTAGATGTATTTTTCTCTTATACATGTATCTGGATTTGCCCATGCAGTACCCTGTTAACTTGTATTAATATGTTAATTACATGCAAATGTTTTTTGCCTTGATAGTTCTGTTTTCTTGGAGAGATAGATGTATGAATCTAAGCTGATTTAATAGAAAATACAATATACTTCATCTACAAGTTTAAAATGAACAAATTGAACTAAAATATCTACATGTAGATCTGTAGAATTCTTCTTTATGTGCAGATCATCCTCTTGTCCGAGACCAACCTGTGCTGTCCACATCTTACAACCAGACCACTGGTCAGTTCTTGTTCAGATGTGAGGGAATGGTCAGGATGGAGAATGCTACCCAGTCATTTGTTGTCTGGACTGTTGATGGAAAGGAGAGGATGATGTCAGAGGTCAACAGAACAGATGACAGGAAGTTTACATCTGACATATCATACCAAGACTTAGCTAATTTCACCTATGGCTCCAAGGTAGGCTGCAGTTGTGAGAGACACTAGTTATTTCCTTAATACATGTATATTTAGTAATGGATTTTATTCTGTTGTTTTTCAGAAAGATTATATGAAGCTTAAAATTACATTAGATATTCATTTTCATTCATATTATGTGTAATGTATAATATTTAATGATAGCTGCCTTTTTCATACATCATTATCATGATTTTATAAAAATTTTAATACATGTAGCAGCTAAATAAATACTATGGTTAAAAGCTTAATGTCTCATTTTGTAGGTGGAGTGTGGAGTAAAGGCATGTTTTATCAATGACTGTGAGAACACAACCAGCCCTATCCTGAATAGCAAACCCATCACTTTGGCTGTCAAAGTAAGGAAAGAGACCATACTATTGATTGTTTGACATACAAGTAGTGATTTCTGGTGTAGGTACAGTGTTACAATGAAGTAAAACAATTACAGATTTAGGGGGAGAAGGACATTATATTTTCACTTGTTTTAGAGCTGATATACACGTACTATAACCAGAATCTGTCCGGGGAACTTTGTGATTACAAATAAGTTTAGCCAGAACTAATCCAGTACTATCAGTGATTTTGTTGCAATTTGATTGGTATCATTAAAACAGCAGTTAACAATTTGTTTGATGTTTCCAGATTGTTGAAAGAGATATTGAAGTTGTTGAGGGAGGTGAATCCTCCAACATTGAAATTGAGTTGGAGTTTCCTCCCTTTATCTTCTGTTCCGCGGATGACTGTGAGGTCGTGGTGAGACCAGAAGTCAGAGGAGACAAGGAGTTGAAATGTGAGGACAAAGGTGTGACGCAGATCTTAATAGTGAGGGATTCAGAAAAGGAGGGACTGAGGATAACAAGGAATAACTGGAGGAACAGACTTGTGATCCCTGTACTGGCTAACATGGACATGCTGAAGGATGGGGACCAAGAGAGGGAGTTAACTCTAGTCTCCTTTGTCAGGGATGGCAATATGACAAGTAGAAACAATATGACAGCAAATATAAAGGTATTTGTCACTTGATCTTAAAGAAAAAAATGAGCTAAAAAAATCCTGGAGATTTAGACAATTTGGTTACTATGTAAAATATTTCTTAGATGAAAGCTATCAAGATTAACCAAATGATACTGTACTTTAAGAGATCAAGGTTCAATAGGTCAATAATATATTGCTAATACATTAGATTTTATTAGAGAAAACATGGAATTTGTGCCTTTTTTGAGAGAGAGATCCAGAACTTCTCTCCTCTAGTTGAATTTTCTTGTGTCAGTTGCTTCTCATAAACCATTGAACATTACTGTGACAAATATTATTCTCATACAGGTAAAAGTTATGGACAGACATGAATCTCACCTGTGCAGTTCTATCAATGATCCACATATGAGAACACTAGATGGAAGGTAAATTCTTTCATGATGTTTCTTTCACAATATGTCATTTGAAATATAAAATGAAATTTGATATCTTTTTTTTGCCATTGGAAAAATCTATGCATGTGTAAAGCAAGATGTCATAATTTTACTTTACAGGAAATATAACAACTTTTATGAAGGTGAATTTGTGCTGTACAGACACACTACAAGTCATTATGAGGTAATATAAGCTAAAGACATTTTTAAGAAGTTTAACTTTGCGAAAGAGTAAACATTTGATGTTTGAAATTCTCTGTCATACATTGGTATTTCTGTCCTTTTTTTTAGGTACGAACTTTCTACAAAAATTGTAATGGAAAGGCCTCCTGCAACTGTGCTGTAGCTGTCAAGGTGGATGATGATGTCATAGTGATTGACAGGTGTAGCCAGGTCAAAGGTGGAAAGGTCACCACCAAACCTATTCAGATCAGATCTTATGTTAATGGGGAGCTAACTCCAGGATTCAGAGTCTACCAGACAGGACAGGAATACAGGGTGAGAAACTGAAAATGTGCTCATAGGGAATAAGTTCTTAAGAAGTTTTGTCTTACTTCATTTTTAAAGTAAGAAATATGCATTCCATCCACAAAGGAGAAATCCCAAAATTCACTCCATGACATGGGTTGTCATTTGTGTGAATTTAGCACTGATCCTTTTGTTTTGTATTTAGATTTATATGCCCTCAGGAACCTATGTGGTTGTTAAGAATGGCAAGAGAAGAACAAGTCAATTTCTGAATGTTTGGCTCCATGCCTCGCCTATGGACTTCAACCGAACAGAAGGTGTGACTGATGCTAAATCTGAAATAAAAATCTGTAGTTAATTAGAGTATATAAAACAATAGCTGCAATAATGTAGCCCTCCCCGATTTTTTTAAATAGGATATTTTCAGGTGAGGACTACAATTCCACTGCATCTCCGTAATGGTGCAAATATATTTTTTAGATACGGACGACTGCAGGCAAAATAAATTGTTTTTGCATTCAACTTACTTCCAATGAGACAGAATTTTTATTCACTGTCAACATCATAGCCCTTTATACGCGAAAACCATGTAAAATAAATCTGTGTGTTTACCAGTTGTTCTCCTCAGCAGCCATGACAGTTCTCGCGTGATGTACTGAGACTTGCGCTTGAAATTTAGAATCACTTGATAAAGTAAATATCGGTGTTGATAAATGTTTGTGTTGTATGATATCACTAAACATCGATAAATAAAAGCATTCCATGGGATATTTTTTCATATACAGTGATATTTATGCTTAAAATATGGGAAATCCTAAATGATCCGCTCCCCTAGATCCCGAATTCTCATTGGTTGTCCCAAAATAAAATCGATCAAGGTCAGTAAACATGGCGGATAAATTCAAGTTGTGATGTTGACATACATGAAAAATAACCGATATACGGATTGTTCTGTATATTTTTGGATCAATTCATGTCTTGCATAACTACATTTTATGAGTTCAGGTAACATATGTTAATAAAATACCCACTTACTGATAATTTGAGCCGAAATCGGTGCGGTAGTGAATCACTCCCGCACTTGCACCATTACGGAGATCCTATGGAGTTGTAGCCCTCTCCCAAAAAAAAAAAAAAAAAAAAATCGGAGAGGGCTACATTATTGCAGCTAATAAAACAATGATCAATCAAACTGATGACCTAAAATTCTCACTTGTTTCTGTATATACAGGAATAACTTTTTAATTGTATTGATGTTGATATTAAATCCATGCCATATGTTATATGTATTCCTTTTTGATTGATTTATCTAGGACTGTGTGGGACCTTGGACAATAGAAAAGACAATGATCTAATGAAACCTGATGGTACTGTAGTAAAAACTAACCAAAAACGCCCCAATGCCTTCTCCATCAGCTGGCGAGTCGAGTAAGAACAGTTCTTTGTTTCATGATAGTATCATGACATGCCCTCAAAATTTAGTCAAATTTTCAAATCTTTTATAAAATGAGTGCCCATTTTACAAAAACTCTAAGGAAATACAATTATATACATGTATTAGAATATTCAATGGTCATGAGATACCAAAAACAGACTTAGGAACTCAAGATTTGACTATTTTTAGCCCTGAAGACACTCTATTCAATGGATTCTGTCCAGACTTGACTTCTGATGTAAGGACACCAGAGATGTTTTACTGTGACCCTGTCAATAACTTCACCTGTTCTAAATTGTCTACAGACTTCACTTGTCAGCAGACAAAACTCAGAGGTATGGACTTGAAGAGAAAATAAATGTATGATTGTAGAAAGATCAAGTACTTAATAGCTCTTATGACGGTGTAGAACTTTATCATTCATATTTTCTTTGGCACAAATTTCTATATAATAAAATTATCATTCATGATTTTACTTTTTCTGTAATTGTTTTACAATTTCATTTTAATCTCTGAAGGCAAAGACATCACAGATGAAGTCTTGAAATTTGCAATGGCTCCCAAGAAGTGCATCACCTTGCAACCCCAGATTGTGTTTGAATATGATGTTAACTATACAACACCAGTGAGAAACTTCAAATAGCTTTCATTGCATTATTTCTGCTAGTGCATAAATGTTTTCCATGTGTTATTATATACAGAACATTTATTCTAAAGGAAGCTCCAGTTTGTTTCTGACTTTTTGAGTTTTTTTATGTTTTAAGTGTAAATTTGAAAGATTAAACCAAATTATTTCAGGAAATTGTTTGGCCCAGGAATGGTATGAATGCATCCATGGCTTACCAGCACTGTTTAAATTTTGTTTTAAACACCAAGATTGGTTTTTCCTGTAACAATAAGACAGGCCTATCTGCAGCCATAGGCCTGGAACTTTCTGTGGAATCCTGTATGGAAGACATTGGAGTGAGTTTTCTCCTTCTTTTGTTCTTTTTAACATTTACTATTCAAGCTTTCAGCAAATAAGAAGCAGGTCTTTAAGATTTACAACATTAGTAGAATTTGATGATTTTTTTTTCTCTGAAAACAAAGTGTACTACCTGATAGCACTTCATTAATACCTGTATTGTCTCTATTCATTCTTTCATTTTTGATTACATAGATAATCTACATGTGATATGATATCAGAGAATTCTTAATCATGTATTACTTTCGATTCAATTGTATCCTTATTTCTGTTGAAATATGACTAGATTTATGCCCTTTCAGTATGATCAGTACTGAGTTTAACTTATTTTTCTGATACAGCTTACTGGAGATACATCTTGGGAATTTGAGGCTTTGGAGAGCATCAAGATAAAGTGTATAACAGAGATAGTAACAAATGTAAACCTGTGGGTGATGGTAGGAGGACAACCTGTCCCTGAGGAAGCTGTAGTGGATAATTACTGTATAAATGAGTGTAGTGGCAAGGGAACATGTGTTAAAGGTACATATAATGTTATGAGTCATGTCTAACATCTAGAAGTTATTGTCATACCATTTGATAATACATGTACTTGACATTTGTTCATCTATTGTAGAATCTGATTCTTACTGGACATTTTAGTAATAAAAGATTCTATCAACTGATACAAATTTATTTATAATTGTTTATTGTAAATTACAAAGCCATGAATAATTCATTTCTTACATAGAAGTGTTTGCCAAGGTTCATTTGTTCTGTGTGTATATACATGTAATTATATATTGTAAAATTACTTATTTAGCAGTAATCATATTTTAGAGAATTTTGCGCTGCTTCTTATCCGCTAATTTATGTACACACTAATGTATGATAAAATGTTGTTAAACATTTACTGCGCTAATTCATGATTTCTCTGATCAGTTGAAGAGGACAATTGCACTAAATATTTTGTGTGCTAAAATATATAGTATATATGTGTTTACAGTATACTTTTATAATTAGTATTGTTGTTTAATGAGTTAAATTTCATCTATTGTGTGTGATATTCTCTGTAGGTCAGTGTCAGTGTGACCCAGGCTTTGGTGATATAGATTGCTCTGTAGACATCACAATACCCCCCAATGTAACAGACATTCTGAATGGTCAGTTGTGTGACATTAGGGAGAGTGAGGATGGAGACCAGTGTAAGAGGATCTTCCTGATTGGAGAAAATTTCCAGAATAATGACTCTCTTGTCTGCCACTATTTTAATGGGGTAAGCTGTGAATTGTTTTGTTGTTTTATTATGCCTTTTTAGACCTAATGTCTTTAAAACTTTATTGATACATATAGTTTGTGCTGCTAAGATTGAAATGGATTAGAGCACAAATTCCTGCATGTCAATTATTCAAAATCACTTTAAGAATTTTTTTATCTCTTGTTGTCCTTATTATGTAAAAATTTTGGTGAAAAAAAATGTTCAATTTGTTGGTGTTTTGATTCACTAGTATCTTTTTTAAAACTGTTAGCCTGGGAGACCAGCAACGTACCTGAGCTCAGAGTCAGTTGTTTGTGAAATGTTGACACCCAGGACAGCCAACATAACTGTGAGCTATGGTGGAGAGAGACAGAGTAAACCCATCAGATATGTTGTGTATGACTCTTTCTGTACGCATTGTGATGAGGACACTCTGGTCTGTGTTGACAGGGTAAGAGTAAGCCAAATTTAAACAAGAAAAGAAATTCAAAAAGTCATCTTCCTATTGTCATAATGCATATTCCATTTATAACTAAATTTAGAGAGTATCGGTTAGTATTTGTCTATTGTCAAATGATGCATACATATGCAAGTTGTATATTATTAAATGATACCTGAAAGATTCTGTATGTGAAATAACTTGTAATATTGTATATTCATCTGAAGAAGATGCATATTATCTGTTAGATTGTTTATTATGGAATGGCACCTGTTAGACTTTCTAATGTAGAATTACATGTATATCAGTGCTGTTAGATTTTCTATTGTAGAATGATACCTGTAAGATTGGTGGCCAGTGTTACTCTGCTGGGGCTGTGTTTGATCAGGATAATAGATACGTCTGTATGCCTGACATAAACGGAACCACGTGGACAAGGATAGAAAGTAAGCTTATTTTTGTTCTCTTCTTTGTCTTTTGAGAATGTCCTACTTCTACTACAATAATGGTGAAGGTTTCATTTGGAGTTGAGTAATTTCTTAATTTTTAAGTTTTTCAGGCATTTACAGTTCACAAATAAAAGTTTTTCATAAGCACATCTGTTGCTCTATATTTTCAGCCACTGCTATCACTGCTTTGAGAATTACATACATCTCCATTATCAACAATGTGTTACTTACCTCCCTTGGTAACTTCACGGTGGGAAGAATTGTACCATTGTTGGTGGATGGATGGAAAGGAGGGTTAGCATTAAGGTTTGATGGACAGTCCTACATAGAAGATAATGACCAGAACAGTTGTCTAAGGAATCCAGAGCTCTGTCTGCAGTTTGGATTTTCCTACAAATTCTCACTGAAAGTGTCTTCTATGATAGACGATTCTTACATCTTCTCGTCTGGTGGAGATTTGCCAGGCTACAGAGGGGTTTCTCTGTACCTCAGAGGAGGTCGCATGTACCTGACGTTAAGTACTGAAAGTTTTGAATGGACGGTGGTTACAGTCTTTAGAAAAATTAATGTTTATTTTGATTTTGAGTTTTCGTGGGGACTCAGCTATGGTTTGGAGTGTTTCATGGATGGAGTAAGTGTGGGAAGGACAAGGGCACCAGTCAAGAGGACAGTTAAGGGAACTAAATTACATGGATTCAGACTTGGTGGGCCGGTGCCTGGAGGGAGACGAGTGGCATCTAAATGTGAAGTGGGAAGTACTACCTTAGTGAAGGCTGAGACCAGAATCATTACAGCTATAGGATTTGTTATTGGTAAGGCACTAAAGAAAACAGGTTTTACTTTACATCAAGAAATACAAAATATAAAGGTTAACCATAAATAAGATTAAAAAAACAGTAAAATAAACTGATGTGAGTGAAATTTCTCGAGCTCTGTTCATTTTATGCTAACAAAAATTTTGAAGAAGTTGAAATGTGGTTGAATTGTTTCTGATTTTTAGATATTAAAAAGATGACAATTTTAAAATATCCTCAAGCAAACGTTGAGGAAATAATGAATTCAAATAAAAAAAAAATTGTGATATTCTGAAATTTTAACATTTGAATTAAACATATCTGACACCTGATTTATAGACATTCCTGAACTGACCAGTGCTCCAGAGCTTTCTGCATCCTACAGTGAGAACGATACAGAGGCCCAATTTCAGTGCAAGTTTGAACGCTTGCCTCGGGGAGATGTTGCATACAAAGTTCAGTTCTTTGTGGATGACAAAAAGGTTAAGGATGTAGGTCTGGTAGATGGCAAGGCTGAGAAGTACATCATGTCAGAATCAGAGTATGGTGAAGGAGGCTATGGAGTTAAGGTAAAGTATGGTCTCAAATACACACAGTTACATTAAGTGTGCACAGATGAAATAAAATCCAGGTGTCATGATGAAACTTGTATTTCTCTCTAGTTGAGTTGCATGTCAATGAGTTGCATCTCTCTAATTTATTTGCAAGTCAGCTAGTTCACTGACAATGCTTACAGAAATTTACTGATATCTGATCTATAATTAAATTAAGCTTCATGTAGAATTTATTTTATAACTTGCATGTATTTCTGTTGCAGACATATTGCATGGTGACACCTTGTTATGTATACAGTTGTGCAACTACAGAGGGACCTGCACGTAAAAGTAACATCATCACTGCTGAAGTCCAGGTAATCTTGGATTAAAGTTGCTATTTCTAATCATAATCTGCATTCTTGTTAACGAAGACACAAGGAGATTCTACATTTGTTTACCATGGGATTATTTTTAATTGAAGTGGATGGATTTTTTTTTCAATTGAATGGCTTGAAGAATTATGGATGGGTAACTGTAAACTCCCACACAAGTTCTGAGTTTTGCAATATTTATTGCAGGTTGTCACAAAGGAGATAACAGTTGTAGAAGGAGGTCTGCCAGGCGATGTCAATATTCGACTGACAGTGCCACCTAGGTTACTGTGTCGACCTGAAGACAGGGCCAATAACTCCTGTTATGTCAAAGTTAACACGCAATTCTCTGAGATAGAACAACTCTGTCCTAACTCCAACAGGCTAAATCAGGCTGTGATTGGATACAGGTAGGAATACAACTACGTTTGTACATCCACAAGTGATCTTAGATTTCATCCCATCTCATTTCTGAACTTTGCAAATTCAATTTTTATCTCAATGTTATGTGTTTAATTTCTGAAGCTAATTATTTTATCAGTAGACTTATTTTCTATGTTTATATTTTCTCTTCTTGACAATGATTTCATACATTTTACTTTGTCTGTATCATTACTGACGACGATGGTTGTTTTCAGTGTCTCCAATGAAGTGACCACTCCATTCTGTGGTAACATGATCACAATGAGGACCTGGGAGAGGATCACAGTTATTCCAGTGTTTGCTTCCATTGACCTCCTCTATGACAAAGACAAAACGAGGACTCTGTCTATCGTGTCAGAGGTCAGCTGTCAGGGCAGTGTCAACTACACCGCTAATACCAGCCTTGTCAAAGTAAGCAGGAACATTAAATATTGTAAAAGGATAGCTTTGTTGTCAGAATTTGTTACCATACTAAATTTTGTATTGCTATATGCATACCACAACAAGAATTTATGAGTATTGGTAATGAAAAGTCTAATGAAACGTTTTACAAAAGGGTTCATTTCTCATGCTGTTGACTGTTGAGAGTACATTATTTATCTAATAACTGATTCATTAAACTGTTGAATATGCATTGCAGAAGAATTCAAATTTTGAATAAAATATCTAACATTTCAGCTAATTTCAAAGTTTTTTATTGCTAAGAAATAAAATTTGAGGATTTTTCTCCCTAGGTGAAGGTGAAGGATGGGGACAAGAGTGCTGTGTGTAAATCTATCAATGATCCTCACATGACCTCTTTTGATAAATGGTAAAATAACCCTTATGCAACTTTATTTGATAAATATGTCAAGCATTCATCATTGATGTCCATGAATATATGATGTCTGTAATTTCAACTGAATTGTCATTGCAGGCACTACAATAATTTCTTGGAAGGAGAGTTCATTTTATACAGACACAAAACCCTTCCATATGAAGTAAGTTCTTTTATTATATAGTCACTGATTTGAACTTCATTGAAGAAAAGTCTATAAGTTTACTTCTCTAAAAAAGTCCTAATCTTCATTCTGTGACATTGTGTTCTTTCTGAAAGAAATACTCTAAAAGATTTTAATCTCTGTATGTTTTGTCATGTTAAATAAATAAGTAAAGTCATTACAAGACCAAAAAAAGTGCATTGCATTAATCTATTTGCTAAGTTCATCTTTGAGGGACATTTGTATTTTAGGTCCGTACCTTCTATCGTAAATGTAATCGGGGACGTGCCACCTGTAATTGTGCAGTGGCTGTCAGATCAGGTGATGATGTTATAGTGATTGATAGATGTGGTCCTACTGTGACAACCACAGGGAAATACAAACCCATAAAGATCACACTGTATCTCAATGGTCAGCTTACAAAGGGGACCAAAGTCTTGTCCTATGGAGGAGGAAAGAAATATGAAGTAAGCAGGGTGTTTATATCAGATACCCAATGTTAAGATTCTTAATATCAGGTGTATATGAAATGAAAGTATCTTTACAAATGATTTCCTCATCAGTAATTAGATTTTATATCACCTTTAATGCAGCAAATTTAGAATTAGAGTTGGTCAGAAAGAAAATGTTATAATAAGACTTCTATTTGCTGTTAATAAATGAACAGTGAAATAATTTACATTGATGGCCTTGTTATTTATGATTCTATATCTGTAGGTTCACTTGCCTCATGGTGCCATAGTGGTGGTTGCCAATGGTAAAGGAAAGAGACCACAGTTCATCAATGTCTGGCTCAAAGCTTCTCCAGCTGATTATCAACAAACAGAAGGTAAAGACACATCTTACTTAACCTTAATGTATATCTACTATTTTGGTAGAATTACTTAAACTTAAGCATGAAAATGATGTGGGAGTAGTATTTGATATCAAACCATGCTGAGAATTAAGGAGTTGATACTTTTATAAATAAGCTTTACAGATGACACAGCAATAACTTTTTAACACAATAAATCCTCTTTATTATGCAGGACTTTGTGGTGTTTGGGATGATGACAAGAATAATGATAAAATAATGAGAGATGGAACTATGTACAGTCCAAAGAAAAAATCAAAACAAGCCACAGAGTACTCTAGAAGCTGGAGGTAACTGCTCTTGTTTTAAACTACTAAAATATATTCACTGAAATTTTTGGCTGCACATAAGATGAATGACTGGTCATCAAGAACTTTTTTCCATGGATACTGTATTATCAAAGAATAACTCTGTCATATTTGATAAAGGGAACAAACTTCAGTATTTAACTCCCTTTTTCATCCTAGGATTGACGAGGCAATGGAGGATTCACTGTATACAGGATTCTGTCCTGAAGATTTGGAGGCAGAGACCCAGTTTAACTACTGCACCTGTAATACAAACACACAAACTGAATGTTCTGATGAAGCTATCATACAGAACTGTGCTCCAGCACTGAAAACCAAGAAAGGCAAAAAGAGGGGTAGGTTTTCCTCTCTTAAACACCTGATTTGATTTTTTTGAAGGGAAACAAAACTTGTGAAATATTGCTTGATAATGCCAGATTTTTGGCCTTTTCGTGGTAGGAGAGTAGACCTGTTTTTTTTAAGAACATTACAAAAGTACTGTGTAGATGTAAATTTGATTAATTTTTAGCTCACCTCGACGAAGTCGAGATGAGCTTATGCTATACCCCCGGCGTCGGCGTCGGCGTCGGTGTCGGCGTCGGCGTTAGCGTCGGCGTCCCGGTTAAAGTTTTAGGAGCAAGTCCATTCCCAAGTAACTATAAGCCCTACCTGGACCAAACTTGCATGGATGATGCATCTAGGGATGGACACTACCACACTTGCTTCGGATGCTGGATCTGACATAGATTTTCCAGTTGAGTGACCAGGTTAAAGTTTTTGGAGCAGGTCCATTCCCAAGTAACTATAAACCCTACGTTGACCAAACTTATATGGATGATGCATCTAGAGATGAACACTACCACACTTGCTTCGGATGCTGGATCTGACCTAGATTTTCCAGATAAGTGACCAGGTTAAAGTTTTTGGAGCAAGTCCATTCCCAAGTAACTATAAGCCCTACCTGGACCAAACTTGCATGGATCATGCATCTAGGGATGGACACTACCACACTTGCTTCGGATGCTGGATCTGACCTAGATTTTCCAGTTGAGTGACCAGGTTAAAGTTTTTGGAGCAGGTCCATTCCCAAGTAACTATAAACCCTACATTGACCAAACTTATATGGATGATGCATCTAGGGATGAACACTACCACACTTGCTTCGGATGCTGGATCTGACCTAGATTTTCCAGATGAGTGACCAGGTTAAAGTTTTTGGAGCAAGTCCATTCCCAAGTAACTATAAGCCCTACCTGGACCAAACTTGCATGGATCATGCATCTAGGGATGGACACTACCACACTTGCTTCGGATGCTGGATCTGACCTAGATTTTCCAGTTGAGTGACCAGGTTAAAGTTTTTGCAGCAGGTCCATTCCCAAGTAACTATAAACCCTACATTGACCAAACTTGCATGGATGATGCATCTAGGGATGAACACTACCACACTTGCTTCGGATGCTGGATCTGACCTAGATTTTCCAGATGAGTGACCAGGTTAAAGTTTTTGGAGCAAGTCCATTCCCAAGTAACTATAAGCCCTACCTGGACCAAACTTGCATTGATGATGCATCTAGGGATGGACACTACCACACTTGCTTCGGATGCTGGATCTGACCTAGATTTTCCAGTTGAGTGACCAGGTTAAAGTTTTTGGAGCAGGTCCATTCCCAAGTAACTATAAACCCTACATTGACCAAACTTGCATGGATGATGCATCTAGGGATGGACACTACCACACTTGCTTCGGATGCTGGATCTGACCTAGATTTTCCAGATGAGTGACCAGGTTAAAGTTTTTGGAGTAAGTCCATTCCCAAGTAACTATAAGCCCTACCTGGACCAAACTTGCATGGATGATGCATCTAGGGATGGACACTACCACACTTGCTTCGGATGCTGGATCTGACCTAGATTTTCCAGATGAGTGACCAGGTTAAAGTTTTTGGAGCAAGTCCATACCCAAGTAACTATAAGCCCTATCTGGACCAAACTTGCATGGATGATGCATCTAGAGATGAACACTACCACACTTGCTTCGGATGCTGGATCTGACCTACATTTTCCGGATGAGTGACCAGGTTAAAGTTTTTGGAGCAAGTCCATTCCCATGTAACTGTAAGCTCTACATGGACCAAAATTGCATGGATCATGCATCTAGGGATGGACACTACCACACTTGATTCGGATGCTGGATCTGACCTAAATTTTCGGATGAGTGACCAGGTTAAAGTTTTTGGAGCAAGTCCATTCCCATGTAACTGTAAGCCCTTCCTGGACCAAACTTGCATGGATGATGCATCTAGGGATGGACACTACCATATTTGCTTCGGATGCTGGATCTGACGTACATTTTCCAGATGAGTGAGTAGGTTAAAGTTCTTGGAGCAAGTCCATTCCCTAGTAACTATAAGCCCTATCTGGACCAAACTTGCATGGATGATGCATCTAGGGATGAACACTACCACACTTGCTTCGGATGCTGGATCTGACCTAGATTTTCCAGATGAGTGACCAGGTTAAAGTTTTTGGAGCAAGTCCATACCCAAGTAACTATAAGCCCTACCTGGACCAAACTTGCATGGATGATGCATCTAGAGATGAACACTACCACACTTACTTCGGATGCTAGATCTGACCTACATTTTCGGGATGAGTGACCAGGTTAAAGTTTTTGGAGCAAGTCCATTCCCATGTAACTGTAAGCTCTACATGGACCAAACTTGCATGGATCATGCATCTAGGGATGGACACTACCACACTTGATTCGGATGCTGGATCTGACCTAAATTTTCGGATGAGTGACCAGGTTAAAGTTTTTGGAGCAAGTCCATTCCCATGTAACTGTAAGCCCTACCTGGACCAAACTTGCATGGATGATGCATCTAGGGATGGACACTACCATACTTGCTTCGGATGCTGGATCTGACGTACATTTTCCAGATGAGTGAGTAGGTTAAAGTTCTTGGAGCAAGTCCATTCCCTAGTAACTATAAGCCCTATCTGGACCAAACTTGCATGGATGATGCATCTAGGGATGAACACTACCACATTTGCTTCGGATGCTGGATCTGACCTACATTTTCTGGATGAGTGACCAGGTTAAAGTTTTTGGAGCAGGTCCATTCCCAAGTAACTATAAGCCCTACCTGGACCAAACTTGCATGGATGATGCATCTAGGGATGGACACTACCACACTTGCTTCGGATGCTGGAACTGACCTAGATTTTCCAGATGAGTGAGTAGATTAAAGTTTTTGGATTAAGTCCATTACCAAGTAACTGTAAGGCCTATCTGGACCAAACTAGCATCTAGGGACTCATAAATATTGCTAGTATTATATTTTGCTACCTTTGACTGACACCATATTCTTGGATTTTTAATTTAAGTGAAGAAAAAGAAATTGAATTAAAAAATTATTTATTTTCTAAGACCATTGTAATCTTTAAAAATACTCATCAATAGCAATAATTATTACATGATGACTTTGTAAATAAACAATCAAAAGCATTGAAACAGTTAAAGCAAGTTCATCGTTGTTAATCACTAATATGCACAGACTGCTTTAAAATTGTTCTTGCTCTTTGTTTTGTAATATTAATGTCAATATAATTGGGAAATGGTCAGAAAAGTATGTCTGTAAAACATCACACTTTACACACTCAATATGTTCATTTTTGATGTATACATGGTCCAGAAGAGAGTTGTTGTCTGTCGTAGGGTTGGATACAATTTGTTGATACTTGTATGAGTTCAGAAGTTTTAGAATCTTATGATTAGGTTTCATATGAATGTCTATGTTGAAATCTCCTAAAAGAATGTCTGTTTCTTTACTGCTTTTCATACATTCATTAAGAAGAAAGTGTTGAAGAGTGTTAAACATTGTTTTTGGTGATGAATAAAGGACTGCCAGTTGTAGACATTTGGAAGGTAGTTGTGGATCTTCAATGTTTATAATAACAGACTGTACAAATTCTTGATTGATTTTCTTTGATTTTTGTTGGCATTTAATTTGGAATTGAAGATTTGAGCTGGTGAAAACTATAATTCCATATGGTGATCTGGATCCATCTCCAGAGAGAATACATGTATCAAATCTCTGCATGCTGTAGTCTGGAATTTGAAACTGTTCATCAGGATCCCTTGAACAAAGTTTTGATTCCACAAATGTCATGATGTCAGGTTGGTAAAGGGCAACATCTTGAAGAACATCAGCATGGTGCTTGTGAAAAGATCTCACATTTTGATAATAAATTTTAAAGTTTAATTTTTCCTTCTGAGCCAGTGGTATGCATGCAAATTCTAGTTTCATGCTGCTCTCCAATCTCTGCATTTCTTGTTTCACAGAATGATCAATGTGAATTTTATTTTCATTTAGTTCTCTTATAAATAGGTTATTTATGCTCTTGACTCTACTGAGGGATACATAATGGCAGTGTGGAAAACATCTTCCATTAAAATCAACCACAACTGATTCCATGGTATCTCCTTGACATCTGTGACAAGTTTTAGCTGCAGCTGGACGGAGTGGAAACTGCTCCCTGATGACTTGTACAGATTTGTACCTTCCAACCATAAATGCTCTCTTGACTTTTGTTACAGGTGTCCATTTTTTATCAATTTTTGATGTATAAAATTTTCTTCCATTCTTTCTACAGGTTTTTCCTATAATGTCATTGTCAAATAATATCCATAGTATATCAGATTGTGTTGAATTGATAGAAAAGTTTGTGACATCCTTAAGAAAACCAGAGGCACCATTTGCTAACCCATCTTCAACATCTATGTTTACAGAAATTTCACATCTCATATTTTTGCATAAATTTAAGGTTTTCTCTAGCCCCATTGTCTTACTTGTGTCTTCTGGTATACTTTTCTTTACTTTTTCTTTTATATCCTTATCAACATCTCCTATGATATAGTCATTAGCTTGAAGAGTAAATTTTTCTTGATGTGAAAGAGCAAATATTCTTGAATTGAAGCTTCTGACATCTTTATTTTTTAGGAAGATGTGCGGAACTAACAGTGGATAATCTTGTTGAGTTTCATCTTTGTTGATTTTTCTTTCTTTCAAGATAGCAATATCCTTTTCTGTGTATTTGCATTCACGAATGCGATTCAGAATAGCAGCAAATTCCTTTGATTCACTCTGACGCATTATTTGAATTAACTGAGAAACCTTGAAGTTTTCTGTCCACAGGTTGGTTGCTAGTGGTCCATAATCTTCCTTGAGATTCTCAAATATCCAGCCATCAAATACAGGTTTTAGTTGGAATAAATCCCCCACAGCCAAAACAGAAATACCCCCAAATATCTTTGATGATCCTGTTATTTGTTGTAAACGCAAATGAATAT